TTGAAAAGGCAGCTTTTATGTGGGTGCAGGATTGCTATAAGAAAGGTATACCTATTGACTTCAGTATGATTCAAGAAAAAGTGAAGTCTTTATCTGACAATTAGAAGCAAAAGGAAAGTGAAGGATCTAAAAGCTAGAGAATTTAATGCCAGCAAAGGATCATTTGATAATTTTAGAAAGAGCTTTGGCTTTAAAAATGTCAAGGTAAAGGAGAAGCAGCTTCTGCTGACCAAGAGGCAGCAGATGAGTTCCCAGATGCCATTAAGAAAATCATTGAGGGGAAGGGATGTAAGCCTGAACAGGTTTATAATGCAGATGAAAGTGCGCTACTCTAGAAAAAAATGCCACAAAGGACATTTACTAGTAAGGAAGAGAAGCAAGCACCAGGATTTGTGCAAATGCATTTGGGTTTATGATCAGAACTGCCCTTATTTATAAAGCTTCTAACTTCCAAGCCTTGAAAGGAAAAGATGGTTGTACATCTAGAAAGCCTGCACAGTGAGAACCAGTTTTCTGGATTAGTTCCATCAATGCTTTGTCACTGAAATGAGGAAGTACCTTGCCAGTAAGGGGCTACCTTTTAAAGTTCTTTTGATACTGGACTATGCCCTTGGCCACCCAGAACTCCATGAGTTTAACACTGAAGGTGTCAAAGTGGCCTGATTGCCCCAAACATGTCTCTAATTCAGCCTCTAGATCAGGGGTTCATAAGGACCTTTAAGGCTCATTACACTCGGTACCCTGTGAAAAGGATTGTCAACGCTATGGAAGAGAACCCAAATAGAGAGAATATCATGAAAGTCTGGAAGGATTACATTATCGAAGATGCCATCATTGTTATAGAAAAAGCTGATTCATCTTGTAAACATGATGTAAACTTACAGTATTGATAAATACAGTACAGTACTATATGTGTTTTTTCTTTATGATTTTTTAACAACATTTTCTTTTTACTAGCTTTATTGTAAGAATATAGTATATAATATATATGACATCCAAAATTTGTGTTAATTGACTATGGTATTGGTAAGGCTTCCAGTCAACAGTAGGCTATTAGTAGTTAAGTTTTTAGAGAGTCAAAAGTTATATGTGCATTTTTTACTGCATGGGGGGTCAGCACCCCTAACCTCATTGTTCAAGGATCAAACTGTGTTTTGTTTTTACTCATATCCTGCTCGTAAGAAAGTAAATTAGTACAACCATCATTAAAAATTGTTTTGCAGTATATCTACAAAAGCTAAACATATGACTTAGCAATTCTCCTCCTAGGTATGTATCCAACAGAAATGTATATGTATGTTTACCAGAAGACACATACAAAAATATTAATAGCAGCATAATTTGTAGTAGGCAGAAACGCTGGAAACAACGCAAATGTATCGACATTATCATTCCACTTATTAAAGCAATGCAAAAAGAACAAGCTACCACTAAGTACAAAGCATGGTTGAATCTCACAGACATAATATTGAGTGAAAACAGCCAAACACAAAAGAGAACATGCTGTATGATTCCCTTTATTTATATAAAGTTCAGAAACAGGCAAAAATACCTATGGTGATAGAAGTCAGAACAGTGGCTACCTTTGTCAAGAGCTGATGACCGGAAGGGAATGTGAAAAAGGCTTCTCGGTGTTAATAATGTTGATCTGGGTAGTGGTTATATGAGGTATATTCATTTGTGAAAATTCATTGAACTATATGTTTAAGATTTGCTACTTCATGATTTATTGTGCTTTATTTTACCAGAAGTGTTTCGGCACTCATTGTTGCACTCATTGCTTGTATTTGTGTACATTGCTGTTGGTTCTATAAAACAGTATATACTTTGCATTCTTTTTGGAAGGCTATTTGACAGTATTTAGCAGGAGCTATACAGATGTCCATTTTTCTGTCCAAATAATTACATTCCTGTAATTTTTTAATCCTGTGAATATAAGTTAAAAGGAAAAAGCTGCACACATATATGCTTACTGCTCTTATTTGTGATAGAACATTAGGAGAATTTTAAATATTCACTAGTAAGAGAATGTGTTAATATTCAATAACAAGAGAATGATACTTCAATTTGGTGAACTGATTGACATATATACACTAGTATGTATAAATGGATAACTAATAAGAACCTGCTGTATAAAAAAAATAAAATTCAAAAATTCAAAAAAAGTCCATTAAACCATGCAGATCACAAAGCAATATGGAAAAATATTTATGAAATGTCAAAGGAGTATGCTGTGTTTACAGTTTTGTTAAAATATATGTGGAAAACTTAAAAATGGAAAGGAACATGAAAAGGAAAACATTTCATATTAAGGCAGAGAGAAGGCTAGTACATTCTCTTTGAATATTTCAAAAACATGTTTTGTCAGACAAAAATGTCACAGAATTTGCCACTTTAAAGTGTCAGTAAATTGTACTAAATTTTTGCACAATAGTAACAAAATTGAATGTTAATTTGTGCTGTTTTTCCTTGATATGAGAGGTATAACCTAAATAATTTTTGAAGATTCTCACAACCAATTGCAGTTTTCACTAAACATCTCAAAATAATTACAGTGAAAGTATTTGAAATAAGAAAATATAGGTCTGGTGTTTACAAAGTTGAACAAGGTTAGAAATTTACTTATTTTTCCTAATGTGAGGCAGGTTATCATTGCAGCTGTATTTGCAGTTTATGCATTTAATTTGGTTTTAAGAGAAGAAATCAGATCTCGTTACGTGTTCCAAACAGTGTTTCATTGGAATTTTAATAAAAGGCTTTAAAGAGGAGTAAAGAATCTCCAAATGTGCTGACCAAAAACTGAGAAAAATGTGCAGAGCTCAACAGTGTGCGTCTGGGGGAAACGTTGTGGAGCTGGAGTTAGGATAGGGCTGGTTTGAAGGAAGAGTCTAGTTTTACTCTTTATACCCTTGATGGTATTAATTTATTTAATAGTAGTGTTTTTGTATATTAGTTGTATATTCCTGTTAATGTTCTGTGAGCCAAATCCAATTTCAATTCTGTGGTCAATTGAGGTATTTTAGGATGAATAATCTGCTATGAAATACAAAACCTATTTTCCTCCCCCTCTTTCCTTTTTGAAAAATAATTTGTCCTGTCTGTTCCAAAAGAATTTGTGGCAAATAAGATAACTCCTACTTTATCTTATGGCCTAGAAGTAAAATTTTTTTTTTCAGACTTTATGGACTGACTTTATTTTTTGTTTTTATTTTTTTTAATTATTTTTTTTCTTATTAGTCAACCATTTTACACACATCAGTGTATACATGTCAATCCCAGTCTGCCAATTCATCACACCACAACCCGCACCCCACTCCGCTTTCCCCCCTTGGTGTCCATACGTTTGTTCTCTACTTCCGTGTCTCAATTTCTGCTCTGCAAACCGGTTCATCTGTACTATTTTCTAGGTTTCACATATATGCATTAATATACGATATTTGTTTTTCTCTTTCTGACTTACTTCACTCTGTATGACAGTCTCTAGATGGATCCACGTCTCTACAAATGACCCAATTTCGTTCTTTCTAATGGCTGAGTGATATTCCATTGTATATATGTACCACATCTTTTTTATCCATTCGTCTGTCGATGGGCATTTAGGTTGCTTCCATGACCTGGCTATTGTAAATAGTGCTGCAGTGAACACTGGGGTGCATGTGTCTTTTTGAATTATGGTTTTCTCTGGGTATATGCCCAGTAGTGGGATTGCTGGGTCATATGGTAATTCTATTTTTAGTTTTTTAAGGAACCTCCATACTGTTCTCCATAGTGGCTGTATCAATTTACATTCCTACCAACAGTGCAAGAGGGTTCCCTTTTCTCCACACCCTCTCCAGCATTTGTTGCTTGTAGATTTTCTGATGAAGCCCATTCTAACTGGTGTGAGGTGGTGCTTCATTGTAGTTTTGATTTGCATTTCTCTAATAATTAGTGATGTTGAGCAGCTTTTCATGTGCCTCTAGGCCATCTGTATGTCTTCTTTGGAGAAATGTCTATTTAGGTTTTCTGCCCATTTTTGGATTGGGTTGGTTGTTTTTTTTAATATTGAGCTGCATGAGCTGTTTATACATTTTAGACATTAATCCTTTGTCCATTGATTTGTTTGCAAATATTTTCTCCCATTCTGAGGGTTGTCTTTTTGTCTTGTTTGTGGTTTCCTTTGCTTTGCAAAAGCTTTGAAGTTTCATTAGGTCCCATTTGTTTATTTTTGTTCTTACGTCCATTACTCTAGGAGGTGGATCAAAAAAGATCTTGCTGTGATTTATGTCAAAGAGTGTTCTTCCTATGTTTTCCTCTAAGAGTTCTATAGTGTCCGCTCTTACATTTAGTTCTCTAATCCATTTTGGGTTTATTTTTGTGTATGGTGTTAGGGAGTGTTCTAATTCCATTCTTTTACATGTAGCTGTCCAGTTTTCCCAGCACCACTTATTGAAGAGACTGTCTTTTCTCCATTGTATATCCTTGCCTCCTTTGTCATAGATTAGTTGACCATAGGTGTGTGGGTTTATCTCTGGGCTTTCTATCCTGTTCCATTGATCTATGTTTCTGTTTTTGTGCCAGTACCGTATTGTCTTGAGGTAGAATATTTTTGTGTGTATTAGTTTTGGAGAGATCTCCTTACTTGGGGATTATTTTTATTTTCTGTAGAGTTCTTTGATACTTATTGAAATTATTTTGTTTGTGTCTTAAAGCACTTTTTACACATGTATATTGCTATTCTGAATTCATCAGTATATAACTTATGTGTATATGCCATTTAAAGTAAGACTGATAGGAATAAAGTAACTTCAATTTTATATATATATTATTATATATATATAATACATATAATCCCCTAGAGATTTTGGTTCTTCAGAGTTTTTCTGTTGTGCCCTATACTGTGTGTTGAGGCTACAATTAAGTAGCTCAATTTGGTAGCATTTGTAAAATAAATACTCCAGTGTTATGTTTACCAAAACTGTTTTGAATAAGTCTTCTTTTTCTCTTTTTTAAAAATTCAGGCTCTGTTGGTTCTTCACCAGTTAGATAGCATTGATTTGTGGAATCCTGATGCTCCTGTAGAAACATTTTGGGAAATCAGGTATATGCACTGTTATTTTTTAATTCAATTTAAAATTTTATTTTGTATTTTTTGTCTTTGAATATTAACTCTGTAGTACTTAGTCTATTATAAAACTTTATTCATTTATACCTCCAGAGGTTTTATGATTTTGTATTTTATTTGACTTGAAATTATTAGATTATTTCTTGTTTTAACTGTAAGAACATTGTCACAGTAGTTTAGAAAATAAATTTTTAAAAATTGTGCTAAATTTCATTATCCAAACATAAGTACTGTTATTTGGTATGTTCTCTTCTATTTCGGACTTTTATGTGGTTACAACTGTGTTTTAAATTGATTTTTACAGTTATAAGCTTAGAGTATTAAAATTTTGTAGTGTTAATAGTTTATTTCAGTTTTCTAAACTATGATCTTTCATACATTTTCGATAATACCAGTGTTTTTGGTGGATGAATTAATACTGAATATCTGCTTAGAAGGCAAAATATATATAAATTTTATAATTTATTTCCTTGGTTATATAAATTATTACCTTTCAGTGAGCACAGAGGTAACACACTGAGGAAAATGTAAGTGTGTTAGCCTCAGGTTTTGCCATTTTCTTATCATAGAAGTAGGTACTCCAAGTCACTTGGCAGCGGAGTTAAATCCTAGACTCTGAAGCAATGCTTTTTGATAGTAATGTAATGTGAACCACATATGTAATTTAAAATTTTCTAGTTGCCACGTTCAAAAGTAAAAAGGAACAGGTAAAATTAATTTTAATAGTATATTTTTTAACCCAGTATATATATAATATTTTTCAACATGTAATTAATATAAAAGTTATTAATAAGATATTTTACATTATTTTTAATAAAGTCTTCAGAATTTATGTTTCATACTTACAGGACATCTTAATTTAGACAAGCCATATTTCAAGTGCTCAGTAGCCACATGTGGCTGGCTAGTGGCTATTGTGCTGGACAGTGCAGCTCTAGAGTAGGAATAAGGAAACTTTTTCTCTAGAGGGCCAGGTTTTAGGCTTTGTGGGCCAGGTAGTGTCTTTTATAACTATTCAGTTCGGCTGCTGGGACATGAAAGCAGCCATAGACAATATGTAAATGGATGAGTGGGGTGTGACCGTGTTCCACTAAAACTTTATTTACGAAGGCAAATGATGGACTGGATTTGGCCTGCAGGCAGTCGTTTGCAGACCCCTGCTCTAGAGCATTAGGTTCACATACAGTCTGTGCTCTGCACCTGGTCTATAATTTTTTCTTGACTCCTCCGCAAGGATGAGATGCATGGATGAAACAGCTGGGAGTTGGGAGAGTAGGGGGCTTAGAAGTACTTGCTTTTTTTTTTTTTTTTTTTTAACGTAATCCATATACTTACATCCTTTGATGATCATGCTATTAACATTTTGATAACCATTTCTCAAAACAAATCCTGGAAAGGAAAATAAGCTTCTCTAGACTTTGTCCATTATTAGAGAATGCCATTCTTATGGACTGATTTTATCTGCATTGTGTTGTTTGTTGACAATGCTGGTAACAGTGAACTTTGTTTCTGCAGCTCACAAATGCTTTTTTACATCTGCAAGAAATTAACTAGCCATCAAATGCTTAGTAGCACAGAAATTCTCAAATGGTTGCGGGAAATTTTGATCTGCAGGAATAAATTTCTTCTTAAAAATAAGGTAAGCAAAGTGACATCTTTCAAAATGGAAGAATATTTGGAATGGTAATGAGAAGAGATTAAAAGGAAGTGTTAAATTAAGTGCCAAATTAAGTCCTAATTCAGTTCCTCTCTCCTATAGTCTTCAAGGGAAATTTTGTGCAGAAGACAATGGCTGACAAATCAACTCTTTAAAAATTATTCTGAGCCTTTAGCCTTAAAGCCAGAATCCTGATAAAGTCTAGCTGAGTTAATCAGGACTCTGTGGGGCAGTCCTAGGAGAAGTGCGGGCTGCTATAACCAAAGAAGATTGAGTAACAACATAGTCTATCTCTCCTCTCAAGTTCATACGTGTAAGACTTGAATCCTATGGCTAGGCTAGCCCAGAGAATGTTATCTATCTGTATATGTAAAGAAGCTGAAGGGAGAAGATTGAGGGCCCTCAATCTAGGTTTATTTATATTTCTGCGAGAACGCTTTTACCTCTTGAAAATATCAGGAGTCTTCTTCCTTGGGGTTGAGTGAAAAGTTTTGATCCTGAACTATTGAAGTATGGTGAGAAGGTTTTGGGGGCTAGAGAAGAGCCTTAATTTTTTTTTAACATAAAGTTTCTATAATTAGTCAATTAAAAAGTTCTTCTATTACAGCAGTTTTAGGAGTACTTGATTCAGTGAATTTTTATCCATTTCTAGAATGGATAAAATCTATGAGAAATCTTTTTTTTTTTTTTTTTTTTTGCGGTACGCGGGCCTCTCACTGCTGTGGCCTCTGCCGTTGCGGAGCACAGGCTCCGGACGCGCAGGCTCAGCGGCCATGGCTCACGGGCCCAGCCGCTCCGCGGCATGTGGGATCCTCCCGGACCGGGGCGCGAACCCGTGTCCCCTGCATCGGCAGGCAGACTCTCAACCACTGCGCCACCAGGGAAGCCCTATGAGAAATCTTAAATGTATCAAACGCGTATGCTTTTCAGTGTACCATGCAGCTTGTTAAATTTTCTTTGTTTAGAAATGGGCTAATGGTAAGTTGGATTTATTTATATCTGGCTTATCTTAGTGTGTTAATACAGTGGAATTTGGCATTATTCCAAAGATAAGGAACAAGATGTTTCATGTTTCATGCCCTTGCCTATGGTATAATTCTCCAGAGTATAAGCATTAGTAATCCAGTAATGAATCTGTAGTCTTCTGGTCAGTGAAGTCACTCTTATAGATGGCTTATATACCAGTGTTAATTCTGGTCCAGAGGAACTTAATCTCAAGAGTCAACTTCCAGTTATCCAGTTATCACAGGATATAAATCTTACGGGAGGCAATCTTAGTTGTTTTTAATTGACCGAGAAGTACATTATATTTTTCATGTGGTAGCTTTATGTTGTTGATGTTTTACTTGTGTCTCTGTTAAACCTAGAAACGTTAATTTACATTTCTAGAATCTGTTGATTCTGATGATTTGAAGAGTGGAAAACTGAGAGGAGTTTCAGAGATACTGAGGAAACATTATTTGTACTATTGGGTGTCTAGTGAATGTTTTTCAATGTGAGGGGAACAGGAGATGGAAGGAGAGGTTTTCCAGGATAGTCTCAAACAGAAGGACAACTTATATTAAATATTTATTTCTCTTGGTTATCAGTACTTTGAAAGGGCTTATTTTTTCTTTCTAGCAGGCAGATAGAAGTTCCTGTCACTTTCTCTTCCTTTATGGAGTAGGATGTGATGTTTCTTCAAGTGGAAATACCAGTCAGGTGTCCATAGATCATGAAGAATTACTACGTACTTGTACTCCTGGAACCTCTCTCCGAAAGGGAAAAGGAAATTCATCCATGGTAAGGAGTTTCTTTTGTAGTTTTCTTGTATCATCATCTGTGCTCTGTATTTTTTTCTGAACGAACTTGGGTAAATTTCAACTAGGTAATATAGCATAGTGAAGAACTGCTTAGCTTGTAGTTCTATTACTGCTCTTTATGGACCCTCAGGCAAGTTCCTAACATCTCTGTGATTCAGTTCCTTGACTTTAAAATGGGGATAATAATAATTTCTGCCCCAGAATTGTGAGGATTATATGAGATTATGTGTAAACAGCACTTGATTTTTTTTGACACTTATAAGCTTTAACTGATAACTATAATTATTATAACTCTCTATCCCATAAGAAAGACCATTCATACCCCAGAAGTTTAAAAATTCTGTCAACTAAAATGAGTACAGATTTACTGGGAACAAAAGCATTTTGCTTGATGTTATCTGTAAGTGTTTTCATGACTTCTGTGTCCATAATTCCCTTTAAAAATAAATCATAATACAAGTGAAAATATCAAATGATTAGAGTTTCTTTTTCAGACCAAAGCTTTTTTTTAATCCATAATTTACAATATAATCTTCAGCTGAAGGTAAAAAAAAACACAACTACTAAGCAGTGTGGTATTTACTCTTGTCTTACCTGCAGAATTTGCATTCATTTTGTAAATGAGGATTTCTGTTTCGTGTTTTGGGAATATGTTATCCAGAGCCCAGTGTATCTTCTACAGTAGTGTTTAGTTCTTATTCATGTCCTTAGTTAAGTCAGTTTTGCAGCATGATTATTTTATTTCTTCCCTCAGAGTGGATAGAATTTCATGTTACTTCCTCTTCCTTTGTCATTTATGATTGACTGAGAAGTGTATTATATTTTTCATTGAGTAGATTTGTGTTGTGCATGTTTTATTTGTGTTCATATTAGACTTAATCGACATTTCTGGGATCTGGAAATGATTCCTGTTCTAGTTGAAATTGAACAGATAGTAGTATTATGTTGGTCCAAATAATCTGAGTTCTCATTCAGGTGAGATATTTTGAGGTTTGAAAATCCTATCATGGTTAAAGGGGAAAAGTTCTTGTGGCTTAGTGTATGCAGACATATCTGGTACACAGCTTGTTGTATTACTGGGTTTTGTAAGTAAAATTACATTAAGTTGCAAATATTTGCCTCCCACTCCTGACTCCCAGGATAGTGCAGCAGGGTACAGTGGAACCCCGCCAATATGCCGACAAGCCCAGACCAAACTAGAAGTGGCCCTGTACATGTTTCTGTGGAGCCCTGACACTGAAGCTGTTCTGGTTGCCATGTCCTGTTTTCGTCACCTCTGTGAGGAAGCGGATATCCGGTGTGGGGTGGATGAAGTGTCAGTGCACAACTTCTTGCCCAACTATAACACATTCATGGAGTTTGCCTCTGTCAGCAATATGATGTCAACAGGTAAATCATGGGTAATGTTTTTTCACTCAGTCTGCCTTGAATCACGTGACGTCTGATTGCTCCAGGAACATAAGAATGTATCTAAGATTACTACTTTGTAAGTTTACAGGGCTAATTCAGATAGCTTACCTGAAATCCTTTTCTGCACAAGGTAAGGTGAAAGTAAATAGTATTTGAAATAAGCTGTTAATTTCTCACTGAGTTTTTAATATGCCATATACATTTGTTTAAAAACTGGCAGTATAAATTGCTTTCAGTTATAGATTATATAATTTACTCTGCCTGAACTGTATGTAGTGAAGTTTTAAAAAGATTGGCACATGTTATGAGTAAGTTTAGGTGGGAGTAGCTATTTTAGGCTGTGGACATTGTGGAGTCCCAGTTAAGTGCCCCTTTCCTGTGAGGCTGGTAAAAGGAAGTGTTCAGCTTTATCATTTGAGGTATTCATTCCAATCCTCCTATTCTGCCTTTTGGGTGGGGCTTGCCAGGTTCTCCGTTGGCAAGCAGGGCTCTAAGTGCAGTAGGTTGATTTGTTGTTGTCTTTGCTTAGGAAGAGCAGCACTTCAGAAAAGAGTGATGGCATTACTACGGCGAATTGAGCATCCCACCGCAGGAAACACTGAGGTATGCCCTTGGCAACAGAAATATCCCTCTCCGGCCCCCACCCTCAGTTTTAGAAGCCTGGTGTTATGCATATGTGACCAGGAATAGCTTTTGAAGCAAATCTAAAATATGTGCATATTACAAGTAGGATATTATAATATGCACCAGGTTTGAGGCCTGCCTATTACTGATTGATTTTTAGCTCTAGGTTTAAAGTTGCTTTCAAGTGGTAATTGCCTTCATTTCAGGCTTGGGAAGATACACATGCAAAGTGGGAACAAGCTACAAAACTAATCCTCAACTACCCAAAAGCCAAAATGGAAGATGGCCAGGTGAGTTTGTGAAGTTGATTTTGTCTGTTGATTGATCTCCTAAACATATATACTTTACTTTATCTTTTGTGAGTGACCTCTTAGTATAATAAGTATGTAGATGTCTTAAGACTGATATTTAGTTGTGGTTCACCTAAACCTGCACTAATATGGTAGCCACTAGTCAAATTAAAGTTTAATTTAAAATTAAAAACAATTAAAATTCAGTTTCTCTGTCATACAGTAGCCACATGTGGAAGTTGACTGCTCTATTGGACAGCATAGATATTAAATGTTTCCATCATTGCAGAAATATTGGACAGCCCTGAGCTAGAGATGATTTATGGTAGGACCATTTCTTTCCCCTCTTTTCTTTCTCTTTCTCCATCAGAGTATTTCACAGAATTTTCAGGAAAGGAGCGACAAAGGTAGAGAAAAATAAATTAAAATTGAAACAATACATTTTACTATTTTATTAGGTATTCTAATTAAGGGTTCTGGTGGCCAGAAGACTGAACCATAGGTTAAATGAAGTTTTAAAATTTGGGCATTTCATTCATCAACTGTTATCATCTGTTACCCTGGACATTTACAATTGATATTTCTGTATGTTTGATTTGTAATGGTCATATTGTTCTCATTATTAGGTGTTCTAGAAAAACTCATTAGTCTCCCACTGTTTTTTTCTTGTCATGCTTTTTAGAACAAGAAAAAGAGTTATGTTTCTGTGAAGCAAAAATCTGTACCTAATATCATTATTGGGAGAGGGACACGTGGCTTTAAAATGAAAGCTTTTTTTTCTCTGGTAGCTGTTTTGTTGAGATATAATTCACATACCATAAAATTCACCTGTTTAAAATGTGTGATTCAGTGGTTTTTAGTATATGCAGAGTTGTGCAGCCACCACCACAATTTAATAAAAACCCACACCCGTTAGCTATCATTCCCTAACCTTCCCCCGCACCTCTGCCGCCAGCCCTCAGCCCTAGGCAACCACTAAGCTACTTTCTGTCTGAGTAGACTTGCCAATTCTGGACATTTCATATAAATGGAATCATGCAACATGTGGTCTTTAGTGACTGGTTTCTTTCACTTGGCATAATGGTTGCAAGGTTCATTCATGTAAATCAAAGCTTTTTAAAAGAAATTTGATATCCTGTGTTGATTATATTAGTCTATGATAAAAATATTTTAGTGGCTCTTTAAAAATGTGTATGATAATCTTAAGTTTGGTTTTTTTTACTTAAAAAAATTTTTTTTGCATCTTTGCATAGTTTTTTTAAATTGAAGTATACATTCAAAAATATGTGTAAATCAAAGTGACAGTGCAAAATATTAGGAGGTGAACATACCTGTGCAACCAGCACCCACATCAAGAAAGAAATCATTACCAGCATCCCAGAAGCTTTCATTGTGCCCCTTCCAGTCACTAATGACCAAGAGTAACCATTATCCTGATTGAATACAATCATTTTCTTGTTGTTAAACTTATATAAACAGAGCAATAGAAGTATACTCTAATATCTGGCTTCTTTCACTTAACATAATGTTTGTGAGATTCAGCCACACTATTTCGTGCAATTGTAGTTCATTTATTATTATCGCAATATATTATTTTGTTTAACAGTCCTCAATTTTTCTTTTCTATTCTTTTTTGGCATTGGATAGTTATACAACAACTAGTTATTTTGAATAGTGCTGCTATGAACATTCTTGAATGTGTCTTTTGCTGACCTTACAGATGTATTTCTGTAAGGCACACACTTAACAGTGGGATTGCTGGGTCACAGGGTATGCAGATGCACATATGGGGAATATAAATGGATATAATCACATTAAAAAACTGCTTGACAGTTTCACAAAAACTTTTAAAAGATAACTAACATTTTAAAGTGAACTGCCATAATATCTGTGTAAATGATCAAATATCATCCAGCCATGAAAAGCATTCCTTTTAAAGAGTATATACAAAATGAGACAATTGATCCACTAACAGGGGTCTATTATTAGTGGTTTCATATACTTGCATGAACAAGCAATTTTTCTTTTGGGATTGTTCAAATTATAACCCTTTAAAGACCAAAAGAAGGAAATAAAATATTGTACATACTTTTTCTAATTCAACTAGATAAATATTTTGAAGCACTTAAATATTCAATAAAATTAGACATTTATATCAGGCCTGGGCAGAGCTACGCTGAAAATATATGATATGATATGATGTAATATAATATATTCAGTTAATAACTGAATTCTCTATGACAGAGAATGGGACAACATTATCAAAACAGTATAAGACAAGGGAAACCTGAAATTGTACCAGTGGAACAGAATTGAAAATCAAGAAACTTGTGGTAATCATTTGAGCCCTGATAAGAAGTATATAAATATGTAGCAGAATTCAAACTAGAGAAGAAACACCAATCTAACTCTTTATGCACTATAAAAGTCAAGACACAAAAGATTCCACAGATGAAAGGACAGTGTCATAATCAAAATGTTTATATTTCAGCTTCAGTTTAACGTCACTTATTTAGCTTCTTTTATATTTACTGTGACACAGTTTAAGAACATTTAACTGTAATTTGAAACCAGAGTAATCACCACTATGTTCCCAGAGTCAAGAAGAGAATAAGTATTATTATTACTCCTTTGTTTCTGTTGGAGATGATCTAATCAAGAAAAGTGCCGAAAAGTACTGATAAAAGCAAGACAATGATAAATATTGGGTTGGCCAAAAAACTCGTTGGGTCTTAAGGACATTTTTCATTTTCACCAAGAACTTTATTGAACAACATATTCATTAACCGAACGAACTTTTTGACCAACCCAATATGAACCCTATAAGGGAAGTCTTTAAACCTAATATGAAAACCACAATTACTAAAAAATAGGTTGATAATGGTACGTTAAATGCTATGAATTCACCACACCTAGTTGATAAGAATACACAAAATGAACTTTGACTACTGCATAAAAAAATTTTTAATTCCTATTTACCTGTTGTTTCCTAAATTTTCGAGGCAACCTTCAATGAATCTCATTCAGATCTATCTGTAAACCAACATACTAAGGAACAGAGAAGTTTCTCTGCTTCATTTATTAATCCTTCAGAAAGATTAACTGTATCATCATCTTGGACTGTATCCCACAACAAGGTGTTTCCTTTCTTGCAAACAATATCCAAATTAATGTCTTTCACAGAATTACTGTTGAATTGATGTTTATGAATTATAGGTTCTTGATTAAGATGTTCATGGTAAATAGATGCTACATTGGCAAGATGTTGTTAGAGATGAGATGGTAGGTCTGCCTGTGAAATGAATCTGAACTAACTCCTCTTCACACCCAGATTCTTAACTATCAAAATCAGCCATATTTTTCTCTGATTTTGCACTGACCTGGGAGCTACTGCAACTGACATCATCTGTACTTAGCTTATCATCAGCCATATGCCCATCATGGTAGTGGTGATGATGTGGTGCTGGTGGTAGTGATGCTGAATTTAGTGATGCTAAATTGCCGACAAGCAAATAATTCATTTCCAATCGTCTCCCAAGGAAGTCCCCAGTGCGTGTAATACTGCAAGATTCCTGAGATGCTTCTGCTGTATGAGCAGCATTCATTTCCTCTGAAATATGTTCCGGGTCTTCAGCATGTGAACAGGCATCCAGCATTTGTATTTGATTATCTACTGATGGCATTGGCTCAGTGTTAGAAAACAGGTCCTTTCCTGTTCCATTGCTTGCTGATGGGCCTTGGGAATCCCCTAAGCAAATGCCTGCTTGACTTTCTAACTTTCTGTTCCAAAGATCCGTACCACAACTGCTTTTAAGAGGATTATGACCATGATCTTCATCTTCTTCAAGGGCTTCAAATCTGCAGTGTCTTCTGACTGTCCCTAATTACCAGAGCACTCAGCTGACTGGCTTGCATTACTAGAATTCACCTCATTGCTAGATCCATTACTGTTGCTTCCAGGACCACTGCTTCCATCTTCACCACTGTTGGCAGTTTTGTCAGAACTTCATTGCTTGGATTTCTTTGTGTCTGAAAGTTGCTATTGCATCTGTTTCGTTCTATGTGTAAGTTGCTCATCCATTTCAATATCACTGCCTCCATTCTGATGAGTTTCACTGTTACTGCTGCTTTGAGGTGACCAAGGTGATGGAGCTGGTCTTCTGAGCTCTTCTTCCTCTTTCTTATTTTCAATGGGAAGATTAATAAAGATGCCAAATAACTGTTTAGGTAGCTGAGCCTTAGCTGCTAATACATTATTCCATAATGCATTAATTAACATCAATGCCAAGTATAATGTCTGTTCAGTACGAACACTTGGCTGAAGAGCTGAAACCAGATTAAGAAGATGTCTAAGTGGTACTGGATCCAAATTCTTGATGAATAAAGGAAATAAATCATGCATATACCAACTACAGTGTTTTCAACTGTGCTGAAGCCCAAATGTAGTCAATATGCTAAGTACTCAGTCATCCTTCTGCTGCAAAAAAAAATTCAAAGTCACTTGACAGTGTTTGATAATCTCAGTATGAAATTCAGTCCGTATATTTGCTCTACCACATTGTTGCTTATAAGCCAGTCTGCCGGTTCTTTTGCGATGGACTTTCTATGTCTGATGCTAGTGACTCATTATTGCATATATCGTTGAAGGTGTGAAGTTGATTCATTATCTGACTAAGCCCAGGCAACCTCTTAGTCAAAATAGATCACGTAGAGGGCTTCCCTGGTGGTGCAGTGGATGAGAGTCCGCCTGCCGATGCAGGGGATGTGGGTTCGTGCCCCGATCCGGGAAGATCCCACATGCCGCAGAGCGGCTGGGCCCGTGAGCCATGGCCGCTGAGCCTGCACATCTGGAGCCTGTGCTCCGCAACGGGAGAGGCCCGCGTACCGCAAAAAAAAAAAAAAAGATCACGTAAAGTACTTAAATGCAAGATCTAGGCTTACTTTATCAAAGCATAGCGTTGTATCCAATGGTTCTTTCACTGTGCTACACATTAAGTCATCCATATTGTGAGCCCCACTCAGTCTTAACTCCCGATCAGGGAAATTGCATAAATACCTGATAATGTAGGTCCTAAAAGAGATAATGTGCTACATGACAGCAGAGATATGTAGCCATATTCTAATACTAGATACAACTATAGTAAATCCATGTGCTGTAAGAAATGGCAAAGTTTTAAGAGTCCCATCTTCAAAGCAGTCATTCATGAGAGGTCATTTTCCCCATGAAACAGACATACCTGATGAAACAAATGCAGTGGCAGTTCTACGTCATCCATGTCACAGATTGTCCCTAATATGTTGCTTTCTTAGGTTGATGTATCCTCTATAGTAAGGTGAGTATTATGCTTGCAAGCAGTTGGGAAATTGAATCTGAAAAATTTTTGCTGCACATAGTAAGTTTTTCTTTCTCATCTCTATTCTGTAAACTAAAAGGACCAGAACTCCTGGAAGATTCCTCCTCTGTCAGGTTACAAATTCTTGTAGAGTATTATTCTTTTCTATTGATTTTTTATCTTTCTGTACTCCTTCATTACACTCTTTTCTATGTTCAGTGGTTCTTCCACTTGGTTACTCTCATCTTGCCATGTGGGAATCTGTAAGATCTTCTGTAAGGGCTTATGGAAAAATCCGAGTGAACTTTTTGGCTAACCCAATATGTTAATAGCAGTACAATGTTTACAAAGCTGATCCCAGAGCACTTGAACTTCAGCAATCACTAAGTTATTAAGTGCACACACTGCTTGGTTAAAAATCTCCAAATGCTTATATTCCTTGAAGCAGCACAGATAATGGCCTCTGTGTCCAGCAATTGATATAAGCAAATGTTTTGAAAGTATGTTCCTTCCTGAACTGCAGTCCATCACCACCTTCTGTATCTGATACTGGATATACGTGTATCACTACCTTCAATTCTGTAACTTAAGACTCATCCATCCTCAAGCAGTAAGGTACCTTGATGTGACTAGAAATTACAGAGTGAAGACTTAGATTTTTTAAATGTAAAAAATGTTCTTTTGTCATGGATGAAATGTTGGATAAAAAGTAATTTGTCAAATCTCTCAACCAATTTAGGTTGAATTCATGCTTTCCATAAAAATTTTGTGTTTAGGCTGCTGAAAGCCTTCACAAGACCATCGTTAAGAGGCGAATGTCTCATGTGAGTGGAGGAGGATCCATAGATTTGTCTGACACAGACTCCCTACAAGAATGGATCAACATGACTGGCTTCCTTTGTGCCCTTGGGGGAGTATGCCTGCAGCAGAGAAGCAATTCTGGCCTGGCAACCTATAGCCCACCCATGGGCCCAGTCAGTGAACGCAAGGGTTCCATGATTTCAGTGATGTCCTCAGAGGGAAATGCAGATACACCTGTCAGCAAATTTATGGATCGGCTGCTATCCTTAATGGTCTGTAACCATGAGAAAGTGGGACTTCAGATACGGACCAATGTTAAGGATCTGGTGGGTCTAGAATTGAGTCCTGCTCTTTATCCAATGCTCTTTAACAAACTGAAGAATACCATCAGCAAGTTTTTTGACTCCCAAGGGCAGGTAAAGTGTTCTCTGTTTTATTTTTCACCCTTCCCTGTGAATAGAGTGACTCATTTGAAATAATGAAGCCTTTTCCTTTTAGATTATTTAATTTCGATACTGGCATGAACTTTCACTTAAAATTTTAAAAAAATAGGTGAAAACATGGCAAAAAGAAGAATCGTCTAATGTAGGAATCAATTTGCTTTTTAGGGACTCCAGTGCATGGGCGTGCCTGGGGTTAACAATGTCTTGGGTATGGATATGAGTGTCTGTGCGTATCTATGTGCACATTTGGATATGTGCCCATGGTTGAATTTCTGCATGTGTATGACATTTAGATCAGGCAGCTTCATCTCTCTGTGGTCTGTCTGCTGTGCATTGGTTCCCAAATCAATTCCCAGTGTTTTGTTCTTCATATAGGTTTTATTGACTGACACCAATACTCAGTTCGTGGAGCAAACCATAGCTATAATGAAGAACTTACTAGATAATCATACTGAAGGCAGCTCTGAACATCTGGGGCAAGCTAGCATTGAAACAATGATGTTAAATCTGGTCAGGTAAGCATTCTACTGAAGTGTAGCAGACACACGTGGGTATCAGTAGTTAGTAGTGAAATAATTTGCCATCCTTTTCTCTGTTGCACCCAAATTAGGGTGTAATAATAAGGTAATTAGAAGTTATATATGTTCTCATATAAACAAAATGAAAATCTTATAGTTCTTATGGCTACAGTTAATCATTTTCCTTAGAGATGAAAGCATTTAGAAAATCTTCTCTTATGTTTATATCGGATCATTTTTTTTTTTAATGCTTCTGTGTCTAGATATGTTCGTGTGCTTGGGAATATGGTCCATGCAATTCAAATAAAAACGAAACTGTGTCAGTTAGTGGAGGTAATGATGGCAAGGAGAGATGACCTCTCATTTTGTCAAGAGATGAAATTTAGGTGAGTTCTCAAAAGAGCAAAGGTAAGGCTTGTAAATCTTATTATGTTCAGTGAAGTACAGAAAAATAGTGTGCACCTGGTTATCATGGGAACGGGGAAGGTGAAAAAGGAGCCTTTTATGTGTGTGGGTTTTTTTTTTTCTCTTCATATCTTTTCAAATTTCCCAAACCTTTGTGCCCATGACAGTGCTCCCTTTTTCTAAAATTATACTACACTTGAGCCAAGAATTTGATTCTGTATCCAAATGGATACCATAGCTAAGGGCTGATGTGGTAGATCAGTACCCAGGTTGCTCGTGTTTGTGCCCTTCTCACTGTTAGATTTGTAATAGCAGTATCTCTTTTATGAAATTGTCATGTTGCTTGGGTGATTTGGAAAATTACTTGAACTATTAAAAATTCTTATATGACTAAAAGTGTATGTGTGGCTTTAAAAAAGCTGTGTCCTCTTTTCTTTTTCTCTGCCATTCTATAGGAATAAGATGGTAGAATACCTGACAGATTGGGTTATGGGAACGTCAAACCAAGCAGCAGATGATGATGTAAAATGTCTTACAAGGTAAAAAAAAAAAAAAGACCTTTAACGTAAAGTATCAGCAGGTTTACTCTGGGTGCTACTTACTACTTCATGAGAGTTTGTATACATACATTTTATGTATTATGTATTGAAATTGTTTTTTGGGATATCAAGCTTTTGCATTTGAATTATATAAAGATACTAATCTTTATTATTTCTTTTTCTTTTTAACTAAAAGACTTTCAGTAAAAATAAATGTGAGAGAGTGTTATGTTTGGAAAGCTTGTGTTGTCTGTTTAGGGAGGATAGTCTGCAGTTGGAAAATAAGGTATATAAAGCCTTAGATTGTTTTTAATTTTTGATTGGATAAAGATATTATTTGAGGAACTTAGTCATTTTGAGTCTTTCTAGAATGTAATTGCTTAAGTTTGCTGTAATGATAAACGCTTACTGCAATGTATCAGAAATATTTAAGCATTATGTATTACACAAAAACCATTCACATATATTTCTTTGGCCAGCCTTGGTTCCATAGTTTGTGCTTTTAATTTAAGGTAGTCATTTTGCCAAGATTACTTTGTAGAAAGTTATTATCACCCTCTCCCCAACTGGGCTCTGCATATTAACTCAAATTATTTAGGTTTTCATAGTAATTTGTTTAATGAAATAGGTAGTTATTAAAGTTTGTATCTGTTAGGAAGAAGTTTATTTGAGGGGAAGGTGGAGTGGAAGAACCTGAAAGATTTGTGGTCTTTAAACTTTTTTTTTCTTCAGAGATTTGGATCAGGCAAGCATGGAAGCAGTAGTTTCACTCCTGGCTGGTCTTCCGCTGCAGCCTGAGGAAGGAGATGGTGTGGAATTGATGGAAGCCAAATCACAGTTATTTCTTAAGTAAATTTCAGTCACCAAAAATACAAAGCAAAAAACAAAGCCCCACACACAACAAAACAAAGTGTAACCAAAGTAGCATATGATTATATTTAGAAAATGGACCTCAGTTGCTTTGTTATTATGGCCATCAGCCGCTGTCTCACAAAATATAACATGTGCTTGAAGCAATATTATCCATGCTAGGGCTTGTATAGGAAGCCCTATACCAGAGCCACTCATGTGATGCACATGTGTTTTGTGGTTTATTTTTTTTTACTTTCTACTGAACACTCTGTATTTTTCTTTCACTCTCTCTCTCTCTCTCTCTCTCTCTCACACACACACACACACACACACATACTGTATTTTATTTTTACAAGAGATAAATAAACTGACACCAAGCATTGGAAATGGATGACCACAACAAAAAAAACAATGATTGCAATTACCAAACATGAAACACACTCATACTATGTCATAATATTGACATTCAGTCCAGTAATCCAGTGTTTTGTGGTTTTTAAAGAAAATAATTTGATTGGTGAATTTTAAAATTTTTATTTATTTATTTTTGGCTGCATTGGGTGTTCGTTGCTGGGCATGGGCTTTTTCTCATTGTGGCGAGCGGGGGCTTCTCTTGTTGCGGAGCACGGGCTCTAGGCATGCGGGCTTCAGTAGTTGTGGCACGTGGGCTCAGTAGTTGTGGCTTGCAGGCTCTAGACTGCAGGCTCAGTAGTTGTGGTGCACAGGCTTAGTTGCTCTGTGGTATGTGGGATCTTCCCAGACCAGGGCTCGAACCTGTGTCCCCTGCATTGGCAGGCAGATTCTTAACCACAGCGCCACCAGGGATGTCCGATTGGTGAATTTTTATTGGTAGTAAAACCCAGATCACCTCCTTAAGTCATTTAAAACGTCATTGTCTAAACTGTTTGGACCACTAATTTTTATATTCTAAACATTAAAAGTGATGCATTTACCGGGAAACACTGCATGTATTTGGTGTTTATATTATGAAATATGTACTGAGCTTTGTCAGGATAAAATCATATTCAACACAAAACACTTCATAATGAGCCATGCTGGCTGATTACCCCAAGACTGGAGAGAAGCAGATACCCAGAGCCACTCATGTGATGCACATGTGATGGTTTCAGAATGTCTGATTCGCTGTCTGGTTGATGTGGCCTTCACTGGGTAAGGGTCAGTCTTTTTATTTCACAGGTATTTCACATTGTTTATGAACCTTTTGAACGACTGTAGTGAAGTTGAAGATGAAAATGCACAAACAGGTGGCAGGAAACGTGGCATGTCTCGGAGGCTGGCATCACTGAGGCACTGTACAGTCCTGGCAATGTCAAACTTACTCAATGCTAACGTGGACAGTGGCCTCATGCACTCCATAGGTGAGATAAAATGAAAGCTTCATTTAGAAATTTAAAACCTAGAGAACTGGCATGTAAGACAAGTGGAATTACTTCAGAAAGACCATGTTAGTAAATTTGCATCTGTCTGTCCATATCAGGTTTAGGTTATCACAAAGATCTCCAGACAAGAGCTACATTTATGGAAGTTCTGACAAAAATCCTTCAACAAGGCACAGAATTTGACACACTTGCAGAAACGGTGTTGGCAGATCGTTTTGAGAGACTGGTAGAGTTGGTCACAATGATGGGTGATCAAGGAGAGCTCCCAATAGCTATGGCTCTGGCCAATGTGGTCCCTTGTTCTCAGTGGGTAAGTTCATTGAGTAAGAGCAGAAGAACAGTGCCTGGCACATAGCAGATGCTTCAAAATTCATTCATTCAATGAATTTTTTTTTAATTGAAGTATAGTTGATTTACAGTGTTTCAGGTGTACAGCAAAGTGATTGAGTCATATATATATATTCTTTTTCAGATTCTTTTCCATTATAGGTTATTACAAGATACTGGATATAGTTCCCTGTGCTATACAGTAGGTCCTTGTTTATTTTCTATATAGTAGTGTATATCAATGAATTGAATTAATTGCTAAAACTTTTAGAGCTGGAAGAAACTTCAGATATTATTTGAGTGATTTTCAGCTGTGGAAAGTGGTTGGCTCTTCTAGCCCTCACTAGATTTCTTAAATATGAGGATCTTATTTCACATATTTAAAGTAAAACTCAAACTCCTCACCTGACCCACTGAAAAATTCCATTTGAACACTCATCAAAAGAAAATTAAAACCCCTGATCTGGTCTGGTGTCTTCATATATTAAATGAGATAATTAGGGTTAAATCTCATATCTAGTTGTTAGTAATGCTAGAACTAGAATTCAAGGCTTATGCCTGTTTACTATTGATATACCTCTAGTTCGCAACTCTTTTTTTCTGTAATGCGTTATACAATTTTTTAAAAATTTAACCACTGTTATTTGCATTTGAAATTGTGACATTGCTTGTTTTAAATACAGAAGACATAATATGGCTATTTGGCATCTGTTAATAAAAAATTTCCTAGAACCATATCATTTTTGGTAACATATGCTAAACATTTGAGAAAGGTTGTCCCTTTCCATGTTAAAAAGCTGTTTAGTTTATACTGTACCGAAAATGATTTCATTTCATTTCATTTTAGTAAATTATATCTAATTTATAATTATAGCTATAATTGTATCTAATTATATCTAATCTGTTGTTGCCTGTAGATGTGTTTCTGCTTAAAAGCTGTAGGATCTTATTCTTCATACTTACAGTGAAACTCAAACTCTTTACCCTGGTCTACAAGGCTCTACCCAGCCTGGGCCCTGCCTCATCTCTGACATCACCTTATGCCATTTTCCTTCTCGTTCACCAGACTGAAACCACACTGGCCATCAAACATGTTAGGCTTATTTCTACCCTTGAGCACCCTTGCTGCTGCTGCTGCCTAGAATACTTATTCCCTGGTCTCTTGTTATTCAAGTTTCAAGTCAGATATCACTTTCCTAGTGAGGTCTTTTCTGGCCATCCAATCAAAACCACACTCACAGTCATTTTTTTCCATTCCTTGTTATATTTTCTTTGCAGCAGTTATTTACTATGTGAAATTATCTTGTTTATTTGATTGCTTGGTCTCATTCCACCACAGTGTGAGCTACATGAGAGCAGACTATGTCTATGTTGTTTACTGTTGTAGTTCCAGGTCTTGAAGTACAACCTGGCATATAACAATGACTCAGTAAGTAATTGTTTAATGAATGAAGATGGAATCCTGCTTGTAGCTAGGGAGTTAGAAAAAGGAAATTGTTGAAATCCTCTTGAAGCCTAACATTAGTTCACAGATCTTCATATATTTTGAAGATGGAATTCTGAATTATCTTTTAGCACCTACCTATAATTAGTGCTAAAAATTATCAGTAATTTTTTCAATAAAATAGAATTAGTTAAGTCCAAGAGGCTTTAATCATTTTGTTTTCTTTCAGTAAATCATTTCTTATGTGTTTTATACTAAATGACTTTCTTTTACAGAAAGACTTTTATTATTAGGCCAGATCTATTCGAACTGTATCTAAACAAAATACAAGATAACTTTAAAAATTTTAGTTCTATTTTGTAAATTTAAATTCTGGTGCTTATATGAAAATTCAACTATCATTTATAAAGCCAGACACTTTTTAAAAATGCAAAAATACAAAACAACACTACTCTACACAGATTTTTGTTGTTGTTGTTTTGGAAAATACAATTATTTTTATAAAAACTATTGTTTATGCTAACATATTATGGATTTATGATGTTATTTTTATTATGTTATTCTTAAATAAATTAAAGTACTATAAAAAAATAAATTCTGGTGCTTAAAGTTTTCAGAATTTTGCAGGGGAGGGATTAGAGTGGAAAAAACTAGCAAAACAGTCTAAAAATAGTTTTATTTTGTAACTGAATTATCTCTCGTAATTACACTTGGCTTTAAAATGGAGGATAGAATTTTTATATCTAGTCAATTATGTATTATGTAACTGTAGGAAGTATAGCAGCGTATTGGGTCGTATTTGGCTTCAGTTATCTGTGGTTAGGATTGTTAAATTTTTTCCTTTATTCAAATAACAGATTATAATAATCCTGGGACCAGACAAGAATTAGAGGAGCTACAGGCCATGATCCTGGCTTTGTTGTCACTGATTGAAGTTTGGGCCATCTTATTATGGCTACCCCTGTTCTCTCTAAATCTCTTCCCAACATGTATGGTTAAACAGTGATTTACTATCACGTTCTTTTTTCTTGAGTGTACCAAAAGATACTTTACTGTGGGGAATTATGAGGCTTATCATTTAGGAACTAGAATTAGCCACCCATCCCCACTTTGTATGTAAATCTGGCTAATCTTTTGATTCTGAATGCACAGCCTAGGTCTTTTTCCTGACTTGCTGCAAATCCTGTAGTTTTCCCATTTTTGTTGTTTCTTGCCTAGCCGTGTTCAGCGTTCACTGAGTTTCCCTGACCATATGAGAAGAGAGTAGAGCTCTGTGGTCACCGAAGTCTTATTTGCCAGCATTGATTTTCTAAGAAAATGATCTGTGCATATCAAATTCTTTGCCATCATCTTCTATTTCTGTTTTCTTTCATTTTGTCATAGAATTTGAACTGAATCCTGGATTTTTTTTTGTCTTCTGGTAAAGCCTTGGCCTCTCTTACCTTTTATCATTTAATCCTTAGAGTTAGCAGCTACTGTAGGTGTATAGAAATAGTCATCTGTCATAGACAGATATACACAGATAAATCCCAGGGGAAAACTTCATCAGTCACCATATACCTCAGTTCAG